GCCCACTTCTGTTTTTAAGCAAAGCTTAATACATGAATAAAGCGAAATCAATAACCAAATAAGCAAATGGCTAAATGACAGCCACAAAAGGCAGCTGAAACGCGAAACATGTCGCAGATGGTGTCAAAGCTGTAAATATGTAAATAAATATAGACCACAAACGATGTGGGCGTGTTACTGTGTGTGGGAGCATGTGTGTGTGTGTGTGTGTGTGTGTGTGTATGCGTATGTGTACCTATTAAAATATGTGAACGACTGCTGTCGCGGGAGCGAGATGAATTTAATTAAAATGTTGACCGTCAGGCCAACAGCTAGCTACGTTGTATAGTATATGTGTGTGTGTGTTTGGTTGTGCAACTGTGCGTATGAGTGACATTAATGTGAGCACTGAAGCTGCCCAGGAAGAGGGACAAACAACACACGAGCAGCAGCAGGAGTACCAAGAGCAGCAGCAACAGCAACACCAACGCATTTAATGCGTGCTGCTTATTGTTGTTGTTTGTGCTATTTATGCGCCTGCGTCTATCTATATACGACTTTCTGTGTGTGCGTGTGTGTGTGTGGTGTTCATTTGTATTCGTCGCCTGCTGGTTTAAAAATAGAACAAGCTGTACTCGCCTGATGTCCTTTTAGCCAGCCCAAACACCTCTCACCGCGCACCTGCCCGACCGCCCACTCACAGCTGCCGCCCCTTCAGGCAACTGGCTAGAATTTAAGAACGAGCATACAAAACAGGAGAGTGTTACAATTATACATATACAATCACACACATACAGACAGCTCTCAAACACAAACAAACACAAACTACGACGAAGTTTCTTTGATTTTAGCTTTTCTTTTTTATTAGTATTATTATTATTATTATTATTATTATTATTATTATTTTATTTTTTTTTTTTTTGCATGTGCGTTTCGCACAATACGATAATTGTGCAAGACTTGACACAAACACACACACATACATACACACACACTCATGTGTGTAACAAAAGGCAGCCAACAAGCGAGTGAGGAGAGTACGTGTGTTTGTATACGTTATTGATTTTTGCCTTGTTTGCGCCTTCTTTTCTTCTCCGTTCGCCTTGGCCATCTCTTTGCCTCCATTGCTTCCTCTCATTTCCCTTCCACTCTTTCGCTGCTGCCTCAACGTGCGTGAGTTTCGCCATTTGACTTTCAAACAACACTGCACGACAATAACAAAGAACACGTGCTCCCACAAAGAAATAAAGAAAGCACACACACATACTCAAGAAAAGTCAGTTTTATAATTTGTTCTGGTATTTAGTATTTAGTATGTTAATATAATTTCAATTTATGTTTATTTTGTTCATATTGCTTAGCATTATAAAAAATTATAATTATAATCTTAATCTATATATATAAAAGAGAGTTGTGAAAAGTTTTCCAGCACTTATAACTCGA